TGCTTATGCTCTTTGATGGTGTGGAAATGTTCTGCAGAACGGCTGTTTTGCACAACAACACAGCTGAAACAAGAAACAATACACACTGAATATCAAAGCATGCATTCGTTAAATTGAAATGCATTCTTCCATTATTTCACATATTGATCGGCTGCAGAAAAAGGGAAATAAATTACTCCTTGAATTCAGAGTTTTGCTTATAATAGGAATCATTCATCCACCACTTCTCACCCTCTGGGTTTGCGTTGCACCGAAGTAGCAGCTTGTGCAGACAAATTAATACCCGCTTCTCTCCACCTTTACTCCCGGTACTTATCAATTATCACCAGCCAATATTTTCTGCCACAATGTCGTTTGTTATGCCAATAAATCCAAACTGAAATGTTGCCACTGAGTGAGAAATGAGAAACAAAGGCAGGTTTGGGGAAATTTGATTTTAGCTCTAACAGGAGCACCACAAATGTATTTCATAATGAAAATAAAATTTGAAAAAGACACAAGCTGAGTGGGACAATAATTGACAAATAGGGAGGAAGAATGAAAACAGCTTGACTACCACAAGCACTTTATCAGATTGGAGGTTTAAAGCTCAGGAACTGCGTGAACATTGTCAGTCGCTCCACAAGTCGCACCCTCGGGGTATTGAAACAAGCTTTTAAATATGCCACAAGTTACCTCTCATTTATTTTATAGCGGTTCAGCTGCTCTGAAGACGTGTTTGAAGTGCCACGTGAGACTGTGCCAAGGCTCAGGGTGGGGATGGGTGGAAGTTGTGGGGTACAGGAAATGGACTGAGAAAGAAACAATAGATTTCCTGATGATAAGTCCCAGAGCTTAAAGAGCTTCAACGGATTAATTGATAGTGAAATAATGAGAGCTTTTAGCCTGCCTGTCTCACAGGAAGACTCATTCAGCCTGGATTGTCTCATCTTTGTTTCTTACCTTTGTCGAATTCATGCACTCTGTAACTATGTGAGCTTTGCAATTATCAGCTGAATGATGTTACTGCACGGCAGAAGCATCTTTTCACAGGACAGATAGAACACTTAACTGGTCATCTACATTTCCAGATTTAGTTAGATGGAATCTTGCATTTGAAAATGGCTGAAGGATAAAAAAATAAAGGTATTAATTTTAAAAAGTCAATGAAACAGGTGGATCAGTGTGTAGAGCTGTTGGTTCTCAGTGAGAAGGATGCTGGATTGAATCCCAGCCAGGGGGCCTTTCTGGGTGGAGTTTGCATGTTCTTTCCGTGCATGTGTGGCGATCGGTTGTTTCTCGTTTGTTCCTATGTGTCCCTGACATGGACTGGAGACCTGTCCAGGGTGTCCCCCACCTCTCACACAGTGACTGCTGGATTTAAACACTAGTGACCCCTGCGACCCGATAAAGAAGAAGTGGGTAAAGATAATGGATGGATGGATGGATGGATGGATGGATGGATGGATGGATGGATG